TTCTACGCATATAACAATGCTTACTCTGGGTATGATCAAGCAACTGAATTTTCGCCGCAATATTATGGAATGCGGTCCTCGCCTATGAAAATGATGGCAACTCAATTTGCTCCTGTTCCACTGCGGTGGGATCCTCGTGCAAGTTCGATTTCATGACGTTGTTAATGCAGCGCGCGCGAATGTTGAAGATTAACTTCAGTTATTTGAGCCGGTATAAACACTGAACGAATGTACCAAGGTTAAGTAACTTCACCTTAGTAACTGTTTACCTTGGTAAAAGCTCAAATGTAAACACAGCATAAGACGCCTGCACTGCAGGCTAAGCTCTGTACGCTTTTGATTGTTTAAATGGATAGAATAGCAACGCCGTCGTCTTGGTAGTGGTTCCGCTGATTTCGCTCATGAAAGGTCAGGACTCGAACCTAATTCCTGTGTCATTTCAGGGTCTTACGTAGGAGACGATCGTTCAGAACAACATTTGCAGGAGATTTTAGATATCAAAGTTCAACTGATGTTTAGAAATACGGATAATATTTTATAGTTTTGATACGTTCCGCCCTCCCAAATGTAATCTGAGATACCAGTTGCAAGTCACGCCACTCGTCATTGTTGTCGCGAACCTTCAAGCGAGACAAGCTGACCTCTCGCGATTTCTTAGCTCGCTCGGTCGCTTCGCAACCTCTGGACGGCCGCTTCGCGGCTTAAAACCTCTCAGCTCGCTTCGCCGCTTAACTCTTCTGCCCTGAGACTCCTGAGGTCGATTTGTGGCAAGTCTAGTGTAGATCTTGTAGACTCAGTTCACTGTTCGTGGTCAACCTCAGAGTCGAGCGATTTTGTACGCGTCTTTTGAAATACTATCCTCGCGAGCTGAGCCAAGAGTACTAGTGATTCGCCCTCAGTCGTTGCGTTACGTGGCTTTCGTCTGTCGGTTGGGATGATATCGATAAAAGTGATAAAAGAATGTCTACAACCAAATACCCGGCAGTCAGAAATTGTTACGTAATTTTGACAGCATGTCTTTCTTAAAACTCTTGAAAATACGAAACAAATAGTCGTCGTGGTTCACGTTTTCCAATAAACGCTGAATTTGATCTTTTTACGATGTTGTATTGCAGAGGACAGTTAAGAAAAGTGACAAAACAAAACACGCTTGCCTTGACACTTCTCAGTTAAATCGGGGTTCCACTGTTTTAGGGGAAGAGCGTATAACATCTGAGTGATACAGCTGTTTCGAGAAAGATTGTCTTACAAAAGCGTAAAAGCGAACGCGACAATGTCGAAAGTTATTATGGGTGACGGTGGTTTTACAGTTGATTGATTGAAGCGCAAGGTATTTCAGCGTTGGAGAAGGAAACAGTACAAACACGTGTATTCATGCCTTCTCTTTCCTCCTAGCTAAACACCGTGGACCTCAACCGAGTCGCGCCAAACTATTACCACCCATAATACCAGCATTGTCGCGTGCGCTTTTGTGCTGTTGTGGGACAACCTTTATCGAAACAGCTGTATACAATTTGCCTTGGTCCACAGGGTTGTTTGCTTGTTCGTTTGTCTGTACGTTTCTTGATTGATTGACTGACTGACTGATGTATTGTTGTTTCCTAATTATCAGCTTTGGGTTTGAAGTGCTATTATTGTACCTCGACTACGTCATGGGACGATTGTGAAACGAGAAGTGTAGATTGCCTGGCTGGTCAGGATAGATGCGCCAAGGTGTACTTGAAATACGGCTCGGCCGAGGTGTTCGCCAAATATTGCACTGCCAGTGCTGGATGTTCCCAAGACGGCAACCCTACCTGCAAAGGTCAAATTGGCTCGTTTAAATGTGACATCAACTGTTGTGATGGTAACAACTGCAACGCTGGCTCGACCTCTGGTATCAGTGGTATCCTGTTGATGACATGCGCCCTGGCATCTCTGATGATTCTCGTTAAAGCTTGACATTGGAGTCAGTTCACAGCAGAGTTGCAACTTAGTTTTTTAAAGTTTAAAGTTTCATAAACAAAAATAGATGTAGTGAAAGAAAATAACGACAGAATGACCGTCTTAACTAGATGCAGCATTTGTAAGCTATAAGAATATAGATGCAGCTCACAAATACAACACTTTTACATTATTGCAGGAGTCAATTTCTCTCACAAAGGCAAACCTCCCACGAAGACGCTCTGTGGCCTTGTCATGCAATCTCGAAGAATAGCTTCGCTAAAATAGCCTCCCACGCAGACCCTCTTAAGGCTCGTCACGTAATCTTTTCGTGGGACGCGCCCCAGGAACGGTACTGTGCTACGCACAGCCATTGGGATTTCTCGACTTTGCTCCTTTCCTAACCTCGCGCAGCGGATTATATAAAGAGGAATTAGAGAGCAATCTTCACCAGGGCTCTCTGGTGCCATTACTAAAATAAAACAAAGTACTCGCGAGCGAATTCCTGCTAGCTACGAACACTATTTTATTCTCGGAGCGGACGAAATACCCCTTTCTCCCCTCTACCCGTAAATCCCTCAGATTTTCTTTAGGGACCAAAAACTCTCCTCTCATCTCGTGTACCGGAAATTCTCGAATAAGCGTCCCGGACGCTGATTTCAATTTGGGAGAAGCCGGGGGCGCTTATTCGAGGGGGCGCTTAATCGAGGAGGGGGGGGGNTTTTTCCCAAATCGTAGCCTGACATGATCAATTTTGTAATTACATCATCTGCGTGTAACAAACTACATAAGCTGTTTATCGGCGCTTATTTTAAGATAGAAGGGACGCTTAATTGGAGGGGGCGCTAATTCGAGGATTAACAGTATGCTTTTGTATCACCTTCCATACGGCGGCTGAGCCCGCGGTACGAGCGGCAGTCAAAACTGAGCTGTCCTACGTAGCTTAAAAAAATTAAGACATTGCTCAAGTTGCTTTGGCCTCTTCTAATACTTAACTTGAGAATTCCAGGTTTAATTTGACGAGGAACAGCATGTTTTGTTCAAAATAAGACATCAATTATCCTACCTGGCCATGGCGACAATCGACGAACTTCGTGAGAGAGTCTCCTGAGATAGAACTCCACGCCGGCGACCCATTTTTGGCGCCAAATTAGAACCTGGGAGACACAAAATGTTTCATATTTTTCACTTTTACAATCTGATAGGTCTTTGGGAGTTGTATATCCCTTTTCGCGTATATTTAATGTCATCTTAAGTGAGAAAAGTTACCTGATTTCAATAGATAGATAGATAGATAGATAGAAACTTTATTAAGAATGTCATCAACCACCTAGCTGGGGAAAAACTCCCCTACTAATACGGGGACATAACAAAAA